CACATGAGAGAAACTTTCCCTTAAACGTTTAATATAACTCATGACAAATTGAGCTGCTTAGCCAAAAATTACTACTTGACATGAATTCCATAATTAAAATCAGGTAATTCTTTATCACATCTTGCTGTGCAACAAAAAAACCTGTTCTCAAAGACAGTCTTTGAAATTAAGTAAGAGCATGAAAAATACAAGATGAAGCACTAAGAAAGCAAATCTTTAAAGAGTTTCTAGCAAGAGTAAAACCACCATCCACAAGCTGTAGCACGGCAAACAACGTATTTCAAAGAACAAAAACACGAAAATTGTTGCAAATGCAGGTAAATGCAATATTTAAAAAGCAAAACTACCTGAGGAGCTACCAGAGACAACATACATATGCAGCACTTCAGAAACAACTAGTTCTGCAGTGGTGGTTCTGTGGTCACAGCATTTCCTTGGTGTGCACACAGGGTGTGCAGCTGCCCCCAGCTGTAAGGACACCCTCCCCTCGCTCGTGCCCACCGTGATGGCACCGCTCCAACCACAGTGAGCTCACCAAAACACTGCACTGCACTGTGCACATCTCCATCTCCCTGGAATATGGCATCTTTCTAAACTTGAATTAGTGCCTGGAGTTTCTGGCTGTCAGACTGTGCAGCCACATCCCTTAGACATTGGACCTAATTCTCCATTTTCTGGTTGCTGAGACACCCCCGCTACCCAAACACCAAAGGGAACTCATGTACTCACAATATGGAAAGATTAATGCACGTGTAAAATTCTGCAGGATCAGCACCTTGGTGTGTGGTCAGAGTATTGGACTATTTATTTTTGTCAAGTTTATTGAGCACCTAGAAAAATCCTATTATAAATAAAGCAGCATGCTCTTAATAAAACTTGACATGCGTGGTAAGTTTTCAATTTATTATGGGGCATATATACATAATGTTTTTATTTTAACTCAGTGTTTTAATTTGATTTCCTACATCCATATATTTACTTCCCTTGAATTTATTCTCAAGCTAAAAAAGCTCCTCCATTTATTTCCAAAATGCTAAAAGAACTACAGGTTTAAAAACTTGTTTTTATGCTTAGAAACCTCATACTGAAAGAACTCATTTACACTGAAAAACACCAACTTCAGGCTCCATTTATTATGCTACTGCAAAAATTCTAAATGGTCACAGCAGCAATAAGCAAATATCCCATGAAACGTTCCCAGACAAGCATCATTTTCCAATCTATTGAGCTCACAGTTCAAAAAGCTCAAGTGCTATTATCAGGCTATGCTCAAGCAACACTTGCAGGTTTAGTCAATAGAACTTTTGTATTTAGGAGCATCTGAAGACCTGACTCATAGCTACTTAAAATTCAGGTTAGCAAGTTAAACTTTCAACTGCTACAGCTCCTTCTGTTCTGGGGGACAAAATAAATAAATAACTAAACAAATGCTTATTTTAGTTACTGAAGTGTCTAACTTATTACTGCCAATTATTTTTAAAACAGAGTCAATTTTGAAGAAAACAAAGAACAAGTTAATAATTCATCATTAACCTGATCCTGTAAACACCTGATTACACCATAAATTTGAAGAAATTACTGTCTTCAACAGTAAAAAATACTGCACTTAATGGTTCCTGCTCTATCTTACACTTTTGTTGGTATCAAGAGTTTTTAAAACCTAGTGCATATTCTCCTGGTAGTTTTGAGTTCCTCTCTTTCTTATAGAAAAATACCCAGATATTTATCTACAGATTTCCAGCTCCCATCAGCACAGCTAAAAAAACATCACAAGCTATAAAAAGAGTTTCTAACAAATCCTTAATTTGATTTGAAGCACTTATTTTTGATGTAAGTACTTCCATCATTTCATCTTGATTTATATTTGTAATGTCTGCTGTAGTGTGGCACTTATTAATTAAACTGATTAAGGATCTTCAGCTGTACCATAGGCCCTCCACTTTCACCCACTTTGCTCCTAACTGTCATTAACCTCTAGGAAATGTCCTCTTTGTTGGTTATTACTGTTTAATTACACTGTATAGTTATGTCATCACATCTGTGAAATACAACCTCCCATAACAACACAGCTGTGGAATGTGATACTCCTGCCCAGCAGTAAAATCTTGGTTACAGCAGAGAATCCACACACACCACGGTGATGGGGGAAGTGATAGAAAGCTTTTCAAAAGCCCTTGATTTTGAGTAGGGCTGTTGAGACAGGAGGTAAGTACAGACTTCAAGAGAGGCCTCAAACTCCCCCTCTTTCCTCCCTTCCAAGCCCTCCTGACAAGATCCTCCACACATTTCAGGAATTACTTCTAAACGTAGAAAACTTAGAAAAGAGAAGTTCTACACAGAAATAGTAAAGTGAGAAGGAACCTCAGAAAACAGAATTTATGAGCTCATCATCTATTTTTTGATGAATAGTATGAACTACAACTGAAAGACACTTTTTCCTGGAACCCTCTGCTTCCATTCATGATCTCATGATGCACAAGCATTTCCTCTGCTTGTAAAGTAACAGCAGCAGTGACTGCAGTGGTCCAAAGAAAACAGCACTGTGCACATTTCTGCCATTCTTTACAGGTGTGGGGGGAAAAGGGAGGAGAACCACTCAAACAACTGGTTTTTAGAACATTACCAGTAAGAGCTCCCCACATCACAAGGACTTCTCTCTAAAACATTGGATGGAATGGTCACTAAATCCTGATATTCAACATAAACTGTACATTCTGCTGGTACACGGAAAAGGTGTGGCTGTATCAAACACAGCAGGAGTGTTACCATAATATGCAGAAAACATTGTGTAAAATCTGTGTACTTACAACCTGTCCTCACTTTGTCCTCCTTCTGACAACATTAGCTGTAAGCACACAGGCTTCTCTACAGGAAAGAAATGGCACTTTGTGTTTACTGGGGAGAGATTTTTGTGTGTGTGTGTGTGGAGAGGGTGACTGGGAGAGAACTGCCTGATTTTTCAAGAGTGGAGATAATGAGACAACAGCAGACAGTTTCAAGCCTCAATCAAGACTCTGTGTGCCAAGCTTCAACAAGATTTTCTTTTTCCTGGTCGGAGTTAAAAACCCTTGACTGGCCAGTAAGGAGTTGTTTACCTGACAGAAGCAAGGGGGCAAATTCCTTTAGATTGATGCAAAACATTTTCCTACTCTGGAAGTCAGAAAGGGAGGAGCACCAAGTTTATTTATGTAGCTCAACTAGCAGCCAAGCTATGAGGATGCCTTATTGTGTGGAGTTCAGAAGTGTACATTAAACTCCTCCCTTTAAAGCAACGCAGAAGGCAAGTTGCCATTCCCACTCCAGGAGTCAGGAGCAAAGGGGAGAGAAGTAAGCAACGAGGTTGCTGTTCGACATAGTTTTCTGTCACAATGCTTATGATTAACCAAGTGAAGAAACAGAATGACAGGGAGCAGAGAGCTTGCACAGATACCAGAGCCAGAGGGAACGACAACAGAAGTGCCCAGGGCTTTGGGTGGTCTTGTTTTACAAACCCAGATTAATTAAGCAGACACTAAAGGACATCTCTTTTAGAAAATGAAACACGTTAGAAACCAAAACGCCTCAGAGAGTGAGCAGCTAGGGAGCTATAAGTAAATTACTAAGTACAAAATGAAGCAGCCTGCAGAGGAAATGAGTAATTAAAAAACCTCCCCTGAGCGACAGGCTGGCGAGAGAGAGGGATAACTCCAGGACCCTGGTGCTGGAGGTAAACAGTACCTAAGCCAAAACGTGACAGATGAAAACAGATGTTTTACACAAACAACAACCCCCCCAACCTCCTGCCTCTACAGTGCACTCAGAGATGGCATTAGGCACAGTCAGTCTGGAACAACCTGAGGAGATGCACACAGGAATTACATCACCCACCCCTATCATGCTGCTGCCCAGGGGTGAAGCACTGCAGTCACTGGACAGCACTCAGCAACTATAAACAATGTTTTCAGAGGAAGAAGTAGAATAACATCAACCTCATTCTTCTTGCCGCAAGAGAATTAACAGAGCACAGACCCCGGTGGCAAAGCAAACCCTTCTGCATCCCTCTCCCCCTCCATAAGGAAGCAATGTCACCCTTGGACACCTGCTGTCCTGGTGAGCAGCATCACTCCCATCTTGGCCTGACTCCTTTTCTTCTGCTGCTCCAGAGAGACACCAAGAACAACATCTAATTTGCCAACCCTTAAGTAAGCAATTCTGGCAAAGTGGTTTCCAACTTTTTCCACTAGATCTCTTCCAAGGAAGACAAGCCTTGGGTGTAACAAGTTTTAGCCCACTGAGAGTCTTTCCTTCTTCTCTTTCTGAAACCTTTAAGAGTCACCAGTTGAACATGAGTGTGTCTGCAGGCAAGCATGGAGGACGATGACCATGGGGACATCCTCCAGTGAAGGGCTTACACTTCTTCACACTTTTCCCCTAGACACGGCTCTCTCAGAGGGAGCAGCCCCAGTCCCAATGAACATCATCCTCTTTCTCAGCCACAGATGGCAGCAAGGCTGGGAAGGTGAGCACATCCCATGTTGATGCTCAGAACCCCATCAGGCAGATGTCCCTCAACAGCACCTCAAGCTCTCCACCAGGTGAGTGTTCTTCACCCACTGTAACCAACTTCAAGTTGGGACCTTCACTGCCCCCTAAGGCTCTCTGTGAGCAGAGGAATGGTATCTCAAGCCCTCCACCTTGTTCAGAGGCAGACCCTCACCATCCCCTGAGACCCCTGGTGGGCAGGGGGACCCTTGACCCCTGTTTCCTTCATCAGCTGTGGACCTTCACCATCACCCCAGGCCCTTCTCCTGGCAGACACACATCCCCTGCACAGGACACGGGCAGCTCACCGCCTGCTCCGTGGGTCGAGGAACCCCTCCCCGTCCCCTCCTGGAAGGAGCCCCCGCTCCGCCCAGCCCCGCATCCCCTCCCCGGGACAGAGGGTCCCTCTCCGCCCGCCGGGGCCGTTCCTGCCCTGCGGAGCGGGCCCGGCCCCGCCGCCCCCGGCCCCCGGCACTCACTGCGGCGGGAGCTGCAGGGCCGGGCCGCCGCGGCGCTGGAAGGCGCCGTCCACGAAGACGCCGTTCTTGCCGAGGCAGCGCAGGTAGAAGTGCGGCTCCTGGAAGCTGAGCTGCAGGTGCCGCCGCGAGATGAAGCTGGAGTGCCCCATGTTGACGTCCACCGAGCCCTGCGAGGAGTTGCGGCCTATGGTGACGGCCGGCTGCCGCATGAGGAACTCGAACTCGCGGCCCTGCAGCCGCGCCAGCACCGGCCCGGTGCAGGCAGCGGGCGGCGCGGCCGGGGGCGGCGGCCCGGGAGGGGGCGCGGCGGCGGGGCTGCAGGGCGCCGAGCGCAGCGCCAGCAGAGCCCGCGCCCCGCTACTGTCCTCCCCGACTTCGGCCATGTTCCCCGGCAGCGAGCGAGCCAGCGTGCCGGCCTCCGGGGCGGGGCCGGCGGGGCGGGGATGGCGGGGACGCGGGGCGGGGCGGGAGCCGCGCCGGCCGCCGCCTCCCCCGGCAGCTCCGCCGGGCGCGGCCGCCCCGCCGCGGTCCGGGGCGCGGGGCGGGGGCGGCAACGGCGGGCGCGCGGCGCCGCCTGCGGGCCAGGGCGGGCAGCGCGGCTCGGGCAGGTGTGAGGGAGCGGCCCCGGCGCGGCGCTCCCGGCGGTTTAACCGCTCCGGGCCGGCCCCGGCACCGCCGCACCGACACCCCCGAGCCACGGGGCTGCCCCCGCCGCACCGACACCTCCGAGCCGCGGGGCTGCCCCCGCCGCACCGACACCCCCGAGCCGCGGGGCTGCCCCCGCCGCACAGCAGTGCGCTCCGGGATTTCTGCGGGCAGGGGTTCTGGTCACTGACATGGGCTCGCTTCAGCTGCCTCTCCATGGAATCATAGAGTGGTTTGGGTTGGAGGAAGTTTAAAGATCATCCAGTTCCTGTCCATGCCATGGCAGGGACACCTTCCATGATGCCAGGTGGCTCCAAGCCCTGTCCAACCTGGCCTTGAACACTTCCAGGGATGGGGCCGCCACAGCTGCTCTGGGTACTCTGTGCCAGTGCCTCACCTCCCACAAAGGGAAGAATTTCTTCCCAATATTTCACATAAATTTCCACTTTTTTCAATTTGTACCCATTACTTCTTGTCCTATCACTGCAGTTCCTACCAAGAGCATCTGCTCTTTCCAAACCACCTCAAACCACCACAACTCTCTGTGTCAGAGAGATGCCCCAAGCCCAAACCAACCTGCTCCAGGTGTTCTGTGGGGCACGGGCACCTCCATCCTCTGGCTGGGGTCTGGTCTCTGACATGAGCTGGGTTCAGTGGCCTTCTGCTGCCTCTCTATGGAATCAGAATTTTGGCTTGGAAGAGACACTAAAACTCATCTGGTTCCACACCCCTACCGTGGGTAAGGACACCTTCCACTAGACCAGGTTGCTCCTAGCCCCATCCAACCTGGACTTGATCGCTTCCTTAATAACCCTGGACTGTTTGCTGAGGCTTGCTGAAGGGGAAGATTGATCCCAAATCCACAAAGGTGTGAGGTTTAAAACACCTTAATGGCCTTTTGTAGAGTTTATATATATATATAAAAATATATATGCTCATATATGAATGTATATTATCATATAGTGGTTTTATATAGCTTTATACTCATACAGTTTTTCATTATAAGGGACTGTGTAGGTTGTTTAGCTTGCATTACAGCATTTCTTCAAATTACTTTTTATATTTCTGTATGATTATGTGTTACATTTCTATCTATGTTTATATTAATAATAAAGGTCATGTCCTGTACTACAACAGCATATATTTGGCTCATGTACAGTCTGTGCTATACATACATATCTATATATACATATATCCAGATTAAACAAAAAATGTTTCTGTATAGGTGAGCTGGTATATTTTGCAGAATCCTGAATAGTTAAGTAATCAGAAAATACAATGAATTTGAGAATCTGGGAGAGGGAGCAGCTGTAGGTTTGTATTTCTTCAGCTTGTGTGGGGAATGTGTCAGCTCATAGCAAGGCTGCTCAACAGCTTCAAGGAGATGGGGAAAAATCCCATAACTGGTCAAAAGTGCAGAGCAAATTTCAGCGATGAAAACTGTAATTAAACGAGCTGGAATTGGTCCAGGACCACAAGGTTAACATCCCTCTTCCTGGAACATCTTCCCTGAGATGTTTAATGACTGCTGAGCAGCTGGGACCTGCGTTAGACATCTCACCCGAGACACCGTCTTCAGTGAGTGCTCTTTGCCTCTGCAGCTCAGTACCAAGTGAGGGGAAGAGACAAAAGCACAAAACACCAATGCCACTTCCTCTGCACCAATGTCAGCTCTGCAGAGAGACTCAGCCAAGCTGGGCACAGCACAGGGCTGCAGGAGAGGGAGGAAAAGCATCCAGAGGGGAGGAGGGAGATGGTCTGAGTTGAGATCTGAGCTCCTCTCCTGCCCCAAACTGCTCAGCATCAGCAAATGCTTGTGGCCAGAAAGCAAAATGTGGCCATCAGGTAGAGCCAGAGCCACATGATGCCTGACAACAGCTGGCTCAGGCTTGTACTCCATCCACCCCTGGATGAGAGTGCTGTTACCTGAACTTAAAAATGACCCAAGCTGGTAGGCAGGTGAGTGGCAGCAAGCAGGGTGAGACCTTGTATCAGAGCAGCCTGACCTGCCAAAAAAAAAAAAAAAAGATTGAAAGAGAAACCAGTGCCAGGGATTTTAGTTCATGTCTAAAGCGTTTCTGAATCCCAAATTTGATCAGGAGGACCCTGAAAGGACCAGGAATAGGGTGAGGCTGTTAGCAGATGTTGTCAGTAACTGTTTCTAGGGCTGCCTGAGAAAACACATTGCGGGCAGGCTGGGTCAGGGCAGGAGCCAACCCCCCATGGGCAGGAGCAGGGCCCTGGTTCCAAACACAGGAGGTGCAGGGAAGCCTCGTGTGGCCCTCTGATGTAGGGCCAAGAGACGTGTCACTGCAGGGCTGGGTCCTGTTACTGCTCCCACATTCGATACGGGCTATGGAATTCTGCAGCTCCAGTTAGGGAATAACCCGAGGGCTGACACGTGAGGCTGGCTGGGAAGATCCTTGCCCTGCTCAGAGGCTCCCCAGCTGCTCAGGACAGAGCTGATGCAGCATTGCTGCTCCAGGGCTGTGGAGCTGGTGATGTCAGTGGGCACGTCCACATGTGTCACGGTCATCTGCAGCCACTGGGACACTCCAGCCACACCAATTCATGAGATTTTTTCTAACAAGTCTTTTCCTTTCTACTCAGAAATTTCTTCTGAGTGGCATTTGCTGCTTAAGCCAGCACCACTGCTGAGATAAATCCCAGCTTCATGCACAGTGTGATCAATTGGTGTACAGAAACAGGATTCCTCTGAGCTGCCTGGTGGGTTGTGCTTAGCACCGTGTCTCAGCAGCCTGTCTGCCTGCGGCATCCTTTCCCTAAGCTTCTAACAGAGGGCTCTGCTGGCAGCCTTCAACGCTCTGCTCAGCTCTAATCTGCCCTGCAACAGCATCAAACCAAGGGCCCTTCAGCCACAGCAACGCCTTGTGCTCCTCCAGTCAGCTAATCCTGCTTAAAGCCAAGCCGGCTGCCCCCGTGTAAATGCCTGATGTAAACGCACTCGAGATTGTTTGAATTAAGTTTATCTCGTCCTGCATGGCTGGACTTTATAGTTGCTCCTTTTCCTCTGCAGGGTTTTAGATGGATGTGTCAGCAGATGTGGGCAAACTTCTTAATTCTATGAGTTGCCTACCAGAGTATTTGGATGGGCAGGAGATGCCTGTCAGGTTTCAAGAGGTGTAGGGAGCCAAGCATTGTCCTTGTGACACCTGAGATGTGGATGTGGCACCTTGGCCATCCCTGGCCATTCAAACTGTCCTGCTCCAGCCAGAACTGTGCTCAGGCACTACCATGGTGTGCCACCCACACAAGCACATGCAGAAATAATCCCTCCTGGCAACTTTGCAGAGATGCCTTAAGCCATTTTGAGATGCTGCCCTGCCTCACCTCTCTGTGCAACAGGAAAACCTGAACTGGGAGGAGAAATCAAACATTCAAACAAAGCAGTTGTGAGAACAGAAAATAGCTGGGATGGAGTCAGGGTTACTCAGAGAGTGGTGTGAAACCCAAATGTCCTTTGTCAAATATTTGTTTGGCTGTGTGTCATTGCTGACTGTCTCAATACAGCAAGAATCTGCTTCATGCTATCAGCTGTGGGCAAATGAATGTAATGGGTTGTTATGGTCACCCAGATACCACTGCATTGGGCAAACACAAATCTTGCAAAAACAGTGATAAAAAGGCACATTTCTGCTTTTATCTGCTGGATGGTGTCTGCTTAGAAATACTGAGTTTCTAGAAGTGAAATGCTGCATTTCTAAAGCTGTTGCTCACTGTTCCGATTCATGAGACTCAATACATATTTATCAAGCCCCAATTCAGCAAGGAATCTGCCCAGCTTCAGCACTGCAGGAAATCTGTTCTACCACCAGACCAAAGCATCATTGAAAAGCAGCTTGGACAGAAAGGAATGATGAGAGCTGCACGCTGGGCGTGAGCCACTTGATGTATTTACCCAGCAGCCAGACAACACATTGATGCTCACAATGAAAGGCAGCCTAATGTGTGCAGCCCTGACCTGGGAAGGAGGAGGAGAAGAGTGAAGGAAAGCAATTACTCTAAGGAAAAGAGAGTCTGCTGTCTCTGTGCCAGCCCAGTCCAGCATTTCTCCTGAGCACGGTGCCAATCTCGTGGGGTTAATGGCGATCAGCCTTCCACTGATGTCAGTGTGCATCATTAGCAAGCAAGCAGAGAATACAGCACCTGCATCTCACAAACACTTTGATAAAATACAAAAGAAGAGGGCAGTGTTCCCTCAAATTCCAGCCAATCTCTCCGCAGCACTTTTTCCCTTCCCTTTTCTCAGCCATCAAGTAGGTTTTAAACGCTGTTGTGATTTTTGTCCAAACTGATTTGAAGCAGTGTAAGTGATGAGCAATGTGCCCTGGATCTGTGGAGATACTTTCCCCTGCACACCTGAGCTCAGGAGCAGCCTCACTTCTCTCTCCAGCTGGGTGGGTTTTAATTCTGCTTTGTGTCTCAGGGAAATCACTGTGATGTGACACAGGAACAAAAAGGGGTTTGCACTTATTCATGTCTGGTAGGACTTTCTTCTTAACCAAGCAGCTGCAAGAAGTTAAATAAAATTCATTGTTTTGAAATATATTCAGGCACATCACAGTATTTGTCTGACACACACACACACACACACTTGCATGTTGTCTAACTCAACCTCCCATGGGATTTCTACCTGTTTTCTCAATTCTGCTGGAGCATCTGTGCTTTTAACTGGATCTTTATGTCTCTCAGTGATGATCCTTGTGCCTGATCTGGG